TTTGCACTACGATCGTCTTTTAGTATTGCTTGTTGTAACGTTCTTATCTGCCTCTACTGGACATCTGTGAAAATAGCTTTATAGCTCTTCGGATTCCTCCAATATAACTATTCTGATTTTAATTCTATTTGGTTGCCATTAAAGGTATCAGGACATATTTACTAAGGTGCAGGGAAAAACACGGTTCTGATTCGCAGAAATGGTATCTTAACATTTGCTCACTGGCATTGTCTTATGAAAGCTCAGGCTCCAAACGGAGGCTTTTTGCAAGGGTTGAGAAATTATTATCCTAGTCTAGAAACTGAAGGTTTTGTAGAGAAGCTCATACTGGTGAAATTATGAACAGATAAAAAAAACGCCACTATTTTCAAATTTTCTTGCTGTAGATTTCACACCTGATGATGATTGCTTGTGTTGCAGTCGAAACGTCGTAAGAATAGTATTGTTTGATATTTGTATTATTTTGTTTCCCTTCTACGTAACTTTACCGAAAGAACCAAGAAAATGAATCCCTGCAGTCACGAAAGCTTTAAATCAAAATTTAACGGCCTCTACGGGGAGGGTTTCCACATAACTTTGAGATCCTTCAACAAACTCCGGCATAAGAAGGCTCAGCTGATCGAGTCTCTCACCTTTCTGAAGAGATGCCGCGACTCTGGGGTAATACCAATCGCATTTACACTGACCTCTGCTGCTGTAACGTCTTCTAATGAGAAACAAATTATTTCCAGAACTAGCTTAGCTCTTATCTCAGAGAAAATCAGACTTAGACGCACCAAACTAGATCAGTTAGACAAGACACTCTATAAATCACACTTATCATTGACGGCAACAATGTCCACATCGGATTGGGAACATGTAGACAATATGACTGCCTCTTCAGCTGCCACTATGTTGATCAAATGTAAGGACAACCTTATTTCCAAATTTAACCTCCTCTTCAACAAAAAACCGGACCCACACACCAAAAAGCTTGACGTTAACAAAGTTGTAATTGATCGCAGTAACAGTTCTATTTCCGATGGTCTGAAATCCATTTTAGCTGAAGGGCTAAACTTTGCAGTCAAACCTAAACACATACCAGTTAATGATATCATTGCCCAAGTAGACGTGGCTCTCAAGGGTCTGGGTCACATCGCTGCAGACGTAGCAAGATCTGAAATCTCTGCAACCCTCAAAAACGCTAAGATGCCAGCCAGCAACCTCAGCAAAGATGAGCGTTTTGAATTATATAAATTAAAAAATAGGGATGACATTGTCATCCTCTCAGCCGACAAGGGCAATGCCACTGTCATCATGGATAAAATAGAATATAACAACAAAATTCAAGAATTTCTCAACGATGGCAGCTATACAAAAATAAAAAAGAGATCCCACCAACAGCCTCGTCATGAAAACCAACAAAATCAATTCTGATTCAACCGCATTAATTGATCAAACCAAGCAGTTCTCATTGAAACTTTCTGCTGCCAGGCCACCAAGATTATGCGACTTACCAAAAATATATAAAGTAGATACACCCCTTCGTCCCATCGTCTCTACTATCAATTCCCCCACCTACAAACTGGCTCGTTTTCTGTCTGAAATCCTGCGGCCTTTCACTGGAAAAACCACCTCTGCGGTACGAAATTCTACTCACCTGGTATCGACAATCAAGGGTATTTCCCTGTCCGCAGACGACCTGCTTGTCAGTTTTGATGTATATTCTTGGTTTTTTCGGTAAAGTCACGTTGAAGGGAAACAACAAAATAATAAAATATATAAAAAACAATAAAATTTCTCACGATGTTTCGACCATAACTCAAAAGGTCGTCTTCATTGATACCTTTTTTGGATGTCCTAATTAAAAAGAGACCTGATGGTTCAATGAGCCACTCTGTCTACAGGAAAGCTACCCATACGGATGCTTATCTGAAACCGGTTTCCCACCACCATCCATCACTGAAGAATTCTCTCATCAAGACTCTGTATCATAGAGCCCAATGCATACCCGACCAGGAACACATAAGCAGTGAACTCAAGCACGTACACCAAGCTCTTAGGGCTAATGGTTACTCCGACTATACAATCCGCAAAGCTATCACTCAAACCATGAAGAAGAACCCTCTTGAGGAGCCTTTCAAAACCATCACTTTACCCTACATTGCCGGGATCACAAAAAATATCTCCAAAATCTTGAATAAACACAAGATCCAGGTCCGTTTCAACACATTACATAAAATCCGTGATCTGGTTCCGTCTGTAAAAGATGTGATTCCGGACATACAATACCCTGGTGTCTACAAACTAAGTTGCCTCTGTGGTAGTAGTTACACTGGAGAAACCAAACGCCATGTCTCGGACCGCATTCGTGAACACAAAGCAGACCTTAAACACGGTAGGACCAACACCTCGGCCGTGGCAGATCATTGTTCTAATTCAGTAGGCTCACATGCCATTGACTTTTCCAAGACAGAGGTTCTTTTTAAGCCATCTGGCTTCCATGAGAGATTCGTTCATGAGGCTATCCATATATACAAGCACAGAGACAATTTCAACCGAGAAGATGGATTCTATCTTAGCAATCATTGGAAAGATTTGATAAACCATTTCAGGTCTTAATTGATTGTTCACGCTTACAGTGGCTTTCAGACAGCATACATTATAAAAATTTCGTCTCCCCCCTCCTCTTTTCAGAATATAGATGGACTAGTCCTAAATAAACTGCCAAATCGTTGCGCTAACGTTTTTTTTATAAATAAGTAAATGCGCTGTTTAAAAATACATTTATGCAAACCAACACACACTGAAGACGACCGTTTGAGTTATGGTCGAAACGTCGTGAGAAATTTTATTGTTTTATATATATTTTATTTTTTTGTTGTTTCCCTTCAACGTGACTTTACCGAAAAAACTAAGAATATGAATTACTGCAGTCACGGAAGCTTTAAATCAAAATTTAGTTTTGATGTAGTTTCCTCATTCACCAAAGTTCCTGTACCTGACACCATCGCAATCATTGAAGACTTGGTTCATCAAGGACTAAACACTGAGGTACCCCCCCCCCCCCCCTGGTGAGACACTGCTTAACAAATACATACTTCACTTGGAATGGAACTTTCTACAAACAAACTGAGGATACCCCAATGGGCTCCCCCCTATCTACGGTTGTAGCCAAAATTTTCATGGAGGAATTTGAGACTGACGCCATCCAGACTGCCACTCTGCGCCCAACCTTATGGAAGAGGTACGTGGATGACACTTTTGTCATCTGGCCACATGGCCGGCCTGCTTTAGACCAATTCTTTGACCACATCAATTCCATACACCCAGCCATCAGATTTACCATAGAAGTCGATAAAGATGGCAAGCTACCTTTTTTGGATGTCCTATAAAAAAAGAGACCTGATGGTTCAATGAGCCATTCGGTCTATAGGAAAGCTACCGATACGGATGCTTACCTGAAACCGGATTCCCACCACCATCCATCCCAGAAGAATTCCCTCATCAAGACTCTGCACAATAGAGCCCAATTCATATCCGACCAGGAACACATAGCCAGTGAACTCAAGCACGTACACCAAGCTCTTAATGCTAATGGTTATTCCGACTACACAATCCGCAAAGCTATCACTCAACCATGAAGAAGGACCCTCTTGAGGAGCCTTTCAAAACCATCACTTTACTCTACATTGCGGGGATCACAAAAAGATCTCCAAAATCTTGAATAAACACAAGATCCAGGTCCTATTCAACACATTACATGAAATCCGTGATCTGGTTCCGTCTGTTAAAGATGTGATTCCGGACATACAGTACCCTGGCGTCTACAAACTAAATTGCCTCTGTGGTAGTAGTTACATTGGATAAACCAAACGACATGTCTCGGACCGCATTCGTGAACACAAAGCAGACCTGAAACACGGTAGGACCAACACCTCGGCCGTGGTAGATCACTTATAATTCAGTAGGCTCACATGACATTGACTTCTCCAAGACAGAGGTTCTTTGCAAGCCATCTGGCTACCATGAGAGATTCGTCCATGAGGCTATCCACATATACAAACACAGAGACAATTTCAACCGAGAAGATGGATTCTGGTTGGCAATCATTGGAAGGATATGATAAACCATTTCAGGTCTTAATTGATTGATCACGCTTAAGGTGGCTTTCAGACCGCATCCATTATTTTTCGTCTCCCCCCTCCTCTTTTCCGAACATAGATGGACTCGTCCATCTGACCAAACTGTCAAATCTCTCTCTGTGGTGCTAACGTTAAAAAAAACGCCACTATTTTCAAATTTTCATGTTGTGGTTTTCACACCTGATTATGATTGCTTGTGTTGCAGTCGAAACGTCGTGAAAATTTTATTGTTTTATATTTTTATTATTTTATTGTTTCCCTTCTACGTGACTTTACCGAAAGAACCAATAATATGAATAAGATACACAAAGACCACACGTAACATCTGTAACTTATCAATAACTGTCAGTCACTGCTGTACAACAGCGTTTGTGTCATATGTGTTCACTTTGAGGCAAAGTACAGTGGTATTATTGCTGCCAAAATGTGATGGGCAATATTTAGGTGTTATGGATTGAATGAAAGGAATCCTTCAAAGACGCACCACATGTGCGTCACATTCAGTCACAATGCTGTGCTTTAGCTCCCCACAAACACTGCTGGTACCATTCATTAGAAAGTTAAATGAGCTCAACATCTTTTGATAACCTTATTTCATGTTCTTTATAACCATGGCAAACTCGTTTGTTCTTTTCTTTTCAGCCAAAAGAAATATTTTAGGGAATGTGGATACTGTAAATATGGGCTACATGATCCAGCTATCTCAACCATGCCTAACATAAGAGCTCACTGGTTAATATATTTCTAGTTTCACAGATTGTTGCTCCGATTCAAATAAAGACAACTGCATACAAATATCCCTTCGCAATTTGATTGGTTAAAAATATATGTACGTGGGCGTATCGCTTGGCTGTGTGACTTATAAGTGTGGTTTGTACAGAGCAAACGATATCAGACGTGGGCGCGGTTCCGGTCCTCAACCATTCTACCAAGTTCGTGAATGGCTTTTTCATCTGCACAATCGGTACGTATTTTTAAAATTATGTACGTATGTTAAAAAATATATTTGTGTATGTACATATTTTGCTTGTCAATTAATTGCTGAATGAGGGCCTCCCCAAATCGTGCATGTTATGGGGATATGAATGCATGCTTTTAAAGACATGGCATCAAAATGTTGTATATATGTTACGTATGTGTGCTATGTATGTCAGTTGCAACCATGGACAGACACCTTTGCCAACGATATTTTACATCTCAAGGGAGATTCCAAGTTAAATATTTGAATAACAAACATTTTACCTCATTATGGTGGTCACTGCGGATGTGTGCGGCGGGGATCATATTGGTGAGAACGTATAAAGCAGTAAACCTTCGATTTTGCAAAAGTCTCCTCTGCTGTTCAACACGTAACCCCGTAGCCACCTGTGACAACCGTGTGCATGGTAGTCTCCTGTTCAAGCATATTCAGGCTGAACTCTAGCTTTTTTACAAGACCGGATGTATTCCTGGAGATAAGCAATATCATTAAAGTATATGTATGTAAGAAATCTTAAAGTAATTGAATAAAAATACAGCAATTCAATCTTATATAATAAACAGATTTCTTTAAAGACACAAAACCGTATATGCTTGCCGTTATTGTCGCTTATTAGCTCGTTTTTTGTCTGAATTTAAGTCATGCCAATGTTAAACAAGTTACACATGAAATTCGTGGAGTGGTGGTGGTGGAAGCTTACAATCCAGCACTGTGTGGGTGAGGGTTGGTGGATCACACAAATGTTGTGCTGGGAATGATCAGTGTTAGTTGTGATTATGTCCTGGAAAACAAGACTTAAAATAATACGATCTTAACTGATCAGCTTATCCCGTAATAATTAACTACAGCTGATCATAGATTATCCAGCACGCGATTATCCGGCTGCTTCCAACATTGTCCGGCGGTCCTGGGTCGATTAGGCGAAACTGGAAAAACTGCTCCAAAGGCTGTAACCCAGTCTGGCGATCGGCACCGTGTGCGTGACAAAAAAAGTAACTATGCTTGATTTCAGTGTTGGATATTATATACACTACATACAACTTAAACTTAAAAAAGACTGCACGTATGTCCATTTTTCATGACTAATAACTACAGTGATAAAAACAGAAAATATAGAGTTAAAAGTGTGTTGTGTAATTCGGCGTTCACCGGAGCACCGGCGATCGTCAAACATGTTGAAACAAGAGCATAGTACTAGTGCATAAATCAGCACATGAATATTTTATATTGGAGTGGGAAGTATGGTCGTAAATATAGTAACTTTGTTACAGTACGTTGCAGCATTCCAATACTCCATATGTACAGTTTTAATACATCACAAATTATTACATTTAATGGAAAAGAAAAAATGCCAGAAAACCCTGATATCACGCTAACTCCAGAACGCTGTCATTAATAATTATAATAAACGCTATCAGTAACCCCCCCCCCCCCCCCCCCCGTGGCGCAAGAGTGCAGAAGCATGGTCACCACATCTACGCCTCTATATAAGGAACGAAACAGACTTCTCCACAAATCTGGCTGTCGCCTGATGAAGCTAATTGTAATTAGTGGCGAAACGTCGTACTCAATTTGTAAATGTTGTGGCTTGGCTCTCCAACACACCAGCGTGCTATACTAGTGACGAATTGACATGTTCTATTCTAGATTTAAAGCTTTCGTGACTACTAGGATCCATACTCTTTGGTTCTATTGGGTAAAGTCACGTAGGTGAAAATAAAATAACAAAAAATCACGACGTTTCGGCCACAACACAAGCGGCCTTCATCAGGTGAAGGGACGAGACTGTCCGGAGGACAGCGCTGGAGTGGGAGAAGCCACGCTTAGATCACGACCTTTAAGCTGTGTGAGAAGAAAAACACAAAGCGCCTTGACAAAGGAATTAGCATATATAACTGGCAAAACCTATTCCTATATCTTGTTACTGGCAAAGGAGGTCTCATAATGTAAATGCTCACCCCGAGCCCTCAATACTCTGATAGTGTGCTGTTTTTGAGTTGTACGCCTTTTGGCGTCTTCTGGTCCAACACCAATGGAGACTAGGCTCTAAGAAAAGCCGTCTCGGGTGTGGACCAATCAAATTCAAGGACAGTGCATATTATTATCAGAGTTGTCTTTTTTGTTTGCATTTTGACTGCTTGTGTTGTGGTTATTGCAAACATGATGCATTGAATAAAGGTGTCAGTTTTTGTGCCAGTTAAAAGGGTAAAACCTATTCCTATATCTTGTTACTGGCAAAGGTCTCATAATGTAAATGAATTAGCATATAATTTAGCATTGAAATGGCTCATTGAAATAGCTAAGTTAAAGTATACACATCCGCAGAGGTACCCCTTGACAAAGGAATTAGCATAGAATTTAGCATTGAAATAGCTGAGTGATTAGCTTGTAACTGGTCACAGAAATAGCTATGTTAAAGTCAGAGCATATACATTCACCGAGGCACCTAGTACTCATCAAACAGGAGAATTTAGCGAAACACAACCACGCTCAGACAGCGGACCCCCAAACTGTGTGCGAGCAAACAAGGTGCTCTGACAAAGAAATTAGCATCAAAATTAGCATTTGATTGGCGGATTTTAGGAAAGAGGTGGTGCACGTGCCGCCCGGCGCGGGGAGGGGGGAGGGGGGGAGGGGGAGTTTACCTATTTATGGTGTGAAAAGGGAATTTATAAGAGCTGAGAAAGTTTGGGGTACCACTACTTGAAAAATATACTGTACCATTGAAATTAGTTTAACGATTTAGAACATCTTTCCAATGGTTGCTTAATTTGAAACCATCCTCTCGGTTGAAATTGTGTTTGTAGATCTGAATTGCTTCATGAACAAATCTCTGATAAAAGCCCGTGGGTTTGCAAAGAACCTTGGTATCGGAGAAAATTATATCGTGATCCCCCACAGCGTTGTAACAGTGATCAGCCACGGCAGAAGAATTCGTTTTGCTGTGTTTCAAATCTGATTTGTGCTCGCGAATTCGGTCAGAGACATGTCGCTTTGTCTCACCGATATAGCAATCACCGCAGGTACAACTCAATTTGTAAACCCCGGGGTACTGTAAATCAGGAATGACATCCTTCACGGATGGGATCAGATCACAAATTTTGTGTACTGTATTGAACCGGACCTGGATCTTGTGTTTGTTTAGAATTTTGGAAATCTTTTTAGTAACGCCTGCTATATATGGAAGTGTGATGGTTTTGACCGAAGTATCAAGTGGTTGTTTCTGTATGGAGGGAGAGACAGCTTAGCGGATGGTACGGTCAGAGTAACCATTCCTTTTTGAGGGCCAGGTGTACATGTTTTAATTCACTGGTCAGGTGGTGTTGGTCCGAAATGCAATGAGCCCTATGGTATAAAGTTTTGATGAGAGAATTATTTTGGGCTGGGTGGTGGTGGTAATCAGGTTTCAAGTAGGAATCTGTGTGGGTGGGTTTCCTGTAGACAGAATGCCCCAATGAGCCATCAGGTCTCCTCTCAAACAGAACATCCAAGAATGGTAGCTTGCCATCTTTCTCCACTTCCATGGTGAATTTGATGGCGGGATGTCTGGAATTGATGTGGTGCAGGAAAAGGTTCAGAGCTGGGAGGCCATGTGGCCAAATGACGAAAGTGTCATCCACATATCTCTTCCACAGGGAAGGTCTGAGGGTGGAAGTCTGGATGGCGTCTGATTCAAATTTCTCCATGAAAATATTGGCTATCACTTGTGATAAGGGGGATCCCATGGGGGTACCCTCATTTTGTTTGTAGAAGGAGCCACTCCAAGTAAAGTAGGTATTGTTGAGGCAGTGCCTAACCAGTGCAGGTGTGTCGGGGTCTAGTCCATGTTGGACCAAATTTTCAATTATTTCAATGGTATCAGGTACTGGGACCTTGGTAAACAAAGAGACCACATCGAAGCTGACAAGGATATCGTCAGGGGACAGTACAACGTCTTTGACCATAGAGACCAATTGGGCTGAGTTAAGTACTGCTGAGGCGGTCTTGCCAGTGAAAGGCAGCAAGGTATCTGACAGAAAACGGACTAGTCTATAGGTAGGGGAGTTGATCGTGGATACGATGGGTCGAAGTGGGGTGCCTTCTTTATGAATCTTGGGAAGACCATAGAATCTAGGGGGTCTTGCAGCAGAAGGTTTTAGGGAGGGACGTTTATTTGGGTCGATTAGGGAGGCCGAACTTTTGATGATCTTGTTGGTTTTTATCGCTAGGCTATTAGTAGCGTCATTTTTTATTTTTGAGTAACTTCCATCGTTGAGCAGATTCTGGATTTTGTTGTTGTATGAATCTTTATCCATAATAACAGTAGCGTTGCCTTTATCGACTGAGAGGATGACTATATCACTTCTGTTTTTCAAATTCGCGAGTTCAGAGCGTTCATTTTTGCTGATGTTACTAATGGGTTTCTTAGCATTCTTAAGAATAGTGGCTATTTCAGCTCTCGCAACGTCTGCTTGGATGTGTCCTACGCCTTTGAGGGCTACATCGACCTGAGAGATGATATCATCTATTGGTATGTGTTTTGGGGTGACAGCAAAATTTAGTCCCCTAGCCAGTACTGTTTTCAGATTGTCCGAAATCGGGGTGCTACTCTGATTAATGACGATTTTGTTAACATCTAGTTTTGTTATATGTGGAACTGGGTTCTTCTTTGATAGGTGGTTGAATTTAGAAATCAGGTTAGCTTTACATTTGACTGACAGTGACTCAGCAGAAGAAGCAGTCATGTTGTCTACGTGATTCCAATCAGAAGGTGACATTTTTTGTGTTAACATTAAATGGGCTTGTAGGAGAGTCCTGTATAAAGTATCGAGTTCAAATTGGAGTAGCCTTATCCTCTCTGAAATTAAAGATAGGCTGGCCTTAAGCAGAATCTGTTTAGAATTCGGAGAAGATACAGCAGCAGAAGTGAGTGTGAAAGCGATGGGTATTACCTTGTGATCGCGGCATCTTTCTCACACAGCTTAAAGGTCGTGATCTAACCGTGG